AAGGAAACTCTGTTAACAGCCACTCCCCAACAAGCAGCTACTCCCTTATAACCTCTCTTCATGGCCCCCGACAATTAGGAATCTGCTTTTTTTCTCTGCGAATCTATCTATCCTGGATGTTTCATGTAAATAGAATCATAAAATATGTAACGATTGGTGTCCGAATTATGTGTCTTAGCATAAAAATATATTTTAAAGCAAAGAAAAAATTGTTACTACCCAATAAGACAAGTAACACAATTAAAAAATGGGAAAAGGATTGAACAGATATTTCTTCAAACAAAATGGCCAATGAGCACAGTAAAGGATGTTCAACATCTTTAGTCCTCAGGGAAATGCAAACCAAGACCAATCACTGTTAGGATAAAGTGCATCATTGTGCTTAAAGGTTTGATTTAGAAATACGGGTAAATAATGACCCTCTGTTTCTGGCTAGCTGTGTTATGATTGCTTGGGCAGAGTTAAGAGATGGCGCTCCAAGACATAGTCCAGTAGGATGCAAAGAGTTTGGAAATGAGTTAATAGAGTTTGATTGTGTAAAAACTCCTCCACCTTACCCAGTCATTTCCACACACTCTCAATATGGCTACCACCAGGCTATATTCTCCCATTCAGAAATGATGCCATTTAAGAAACCAGCTAAGTACAACTCATCCCAATTATTGAAAAAGCTTTTTTCAAACTGCAAAATTGCAAGCAAGGGGGAAATCAAACACGAAAGATGATGCATCACAGAACAAAAGGAGCAGCTGCAAACGTTCTGAGCCCTGGCTCCCATGTGACTTTCCTGTCAACTCTGCTTTCTTAAATGGCCAGAAAAACTACTTCATGGGGAAAAATGTATTTTCTGCAAATATGTTCATGCTTCTATGTGATTCACATTACTTTTTATTTTCGTTATCAATGCAATGTCTGTTTTTTCCATGTTATTAATAGTTACGTCTCTAAATTAAGAAAAATGAGTTTGAACATAAGAGATAATATCCAGTCCAAGATAGCACCATTTAAATGAGCATGAAATCATTCTTGTAAACAAAAATTTCTGTCACTAGGTAACTGAGTTGTTCACCTGTCACCCACATGTGATGCAGCCTCTCTTCATGCCTATTGTGTCAGCTAATTATTTATAACACTCTCTTGTCACTCTTAGAAATGCCCTAAAGTGGCTGATACATTAGTTTACCATTCTAATTAGAAGCTTCTTTCAGGTCCTTTACTTTTTAAAATGTTTTTTTAATTTAATTTTTTTTTTTTAAAGAGATGGAATCTTGCTCTGTTGCCCCAGCTGGAGTGCAGTGGTGCTATCTTGGCTCACTGCAATCTCCATCTCCTGGGTTCTAGCAATTCTCCTGCCCCAGCCTTATGAGTAGCTGGCATTATAGGTGCATGCCACCATGCCTGGCTAATTTTTTATATTTTAATAGAGATGGGGTTTCACTGTGTTACCCAGGCTGGTCTCAAACTCCTGAGCTCAGGCAATCCACCCACCTCAGCCTCCCAAAGTGCTAGGATTACAGGCATGAGCCACCATGCCCAGAAGGTCCTTTACTTTCTTGGTGTATTAATAAATCACTTAATTTAAGATGCTTTTCAGAGTCCCGTTGGCTGAAAACGATAAGGATTGCATCCCCTGGCCACATGCCCATGTGCCCTTGGATTTGTGCTTGAGTGTAGAAGGGAGATGGGGTGAGGCTGGGATGGTGGTATCGGGAGGCAGCACCCATTAGGTCTGTTATTCGCACATGAGACTAAGTGCTGGGGTGACTTCAGGCTGGCCTGACTACTGTGCCTAGGTCCTGGAAACACACACCACATGTTTATATTTGTGTCAATGTTCATGCATGGAGTTTTCCATTTTTCTTAAAGAAAACAAACAATAGCAAAAAAGATGAATATTTTAGTTATTTAAAAACTGAGCACGCTATTTGCTACCCATGCAAAATAATGTATACTTTCGAGGATTCAGTGTTGAGATTCTCCTACCTGCTTAGCCACAAGAAGAAGGAAATCCCCTGGACATTACAATTGAAACCTGTTTAGAGCAGTTAAACTGCTTCCTGAAAGCCCAGGGTCTCCTTTGTCCACCAGTTCTTAAGGCAGAGGGAGCCCTTGTAAGAGTTAAAGAAAGAGGAAAGAAACCCTGAACACGACCTGGCAGTTAAAGGTAAGTTTGCTTTAGATAAAACCTGAGAGAGGCTTCTGGCTGTTTTTTTTTTTTTTTTTTTTTTTTTTTGGTCAGGAGTACTTTCTCTTACAGACTAAAAGTATATATTGGTTTTAGGATGAGGACCTTATTATAAGCTTGGAATGTTCCCATGTGAGGGAGAAGTTTTATGGTGGGGTTGGAAGGTCTCTGGAAGGAGAGAAGTTTATCTTGAGGCAGACATCTTTCTGGCAGGACAGGGGTTACTTTGGGGCTGGCCTTTTCCTGGCCGGAGGGGGTTTCTCTTGGGGCTAGCATATTTTCAGTTAGGGAGGAGTTGGGAATCTTTCTGGTCAGAGATGTTTTGTGATTTATGGTCATGCTGACCTTAGCCATTAGGCTTATGCCCTTTGGGTTTTGGCAGTTTTTTATTAAGGTGAACTTTAGAATGAGGAGCTTGTCCAAGATGGTGATGGTCCTGCTGTATCAGCCCCTAAGTCTGCAGAGACCCCAGAGGAAACTTAGTTTCACTGACCTGTCTCTGTTGCCTCTGAGAGTGGAATGCTCTGCCTTGAGTACCACTTCCCTTTAGGCCTCTTAAGATTCACAGAGTCTGTGTTCCATGCCCGGTGCTCATGGGAGGTGGAAGACTCAATATCGCTGATGTTCTGGAGGGTCAACCATAGAGGAACATGAGTGACAAGGGAAAGAACAGCATCTGAAAGTGGACCAGTCCATCTGCTCTGATTTGTGTCCCTTCCTACTCATTCCAGAGGCCTCTTAGAAATAACCAGACATATCCTGAGGCTCCCAGCTTAAAACGCTTTGGTGTTCTCCATCACCTTCGCTCTGCATACCAGTCCTGCCCACCTCTCCAGCCACATGCCCACCCTCTACCCCTCATCCCTCACCTGGCACGCTGGCCTTTCTCCTCTTCCTTAAACACATCAGGCTTTTACCTAACCCATAACCCCTGACATGCCCTTCTCTCTCTCTCTTTTTTTTTTAAATATATATTTTATTGCATTTTAGGTTTTGGGGTACATGTGAAGAACATGCAAGATTCTTGCATAGGTACATACATGGCAATGTAATACAGGAGCACCCAGATACATAAAGCAAGTTCTTAATTACTTACAAAGAGACTTAGACTCCCACACAATAATAGTGGGAGACTTTAACACTCCACTGTCAATATTAGACAGATCAACGAGACAGAAAATTAACAAGGATATCCAGGA